ATCCCTGGAGGGGTTCAGAAAACGAGTGGATGTAGCACTGGGGGACATGGTTTGGGGATCATGGCAGTGCTGGGTTGATGGTTGGACTTCATGATCTTAGAGATCTCTTCCAATCTTGATGATTCTCTATATTCTTTTGTCCTCCTCGGGCAGGTGCAGCTGGGACAGCAAAGGCAGCAGACAGCCCTGGCAGCAGCTGCTGGGATTTATTTACCTTAATCCCTTCAATCCAGAGCTTCCCTGCAGGGTGAGGAGGGCAGGACCTCCTCGCTCACGGGGCTCTGAGACCCCTCAGCTCCCTGCCTGCCGGGCACTCAGCAGCTGTGAGGGAGCAAAGACCTGCTGGCCACCTCCCAGCCAGGCATGAGCCTGCCCAAATCAGCCAGCCAGGTCTCTCCCTCCCTTCCCAGCGAGGCCAAGTGGTCCCTGATTCCTCTCAGCCTCAAACTACACTAGGGGACACCTTAAGAAAGCCCAGTGAAAGCAGCAGGTCCCCAAAAATACTCCCATCTGCAGAACCCTGGCTGCTCCACGGGCAGGTGAGCAGAGAGGGAAGGTTCTTCTGGATTCCCCAAAAGGAGCCAGAGGAAAGAGGAGCAGTGAGGCCCTGGAGAACCCTTCTGAACCATCTCCCCTTGGGGCTGGAGAGTGAGAGACCCGGGGCTGGGGAACCAGGCTGAAGACTCTGTGTTCAGAGGAGATGCTCAACCTCTCCCAGACCTGAAAGAGTCTCAAGTTTGGCACCTGAGACTTAAACCCAGCCCTCCCTTTCCAAACAATCCATGTCCAGTCTCTACTCAGCAAAGGCCAAGAACACAAAGGAGCAAACCATCAGTAAACCAGCAGCTCTGGGGGGTTTTGGGGGGTTGTTTTTGCCCTTTTTTCCCTGCAGAGGATGGGCTGTGTGATGACCCTCAGCCCCCCAGCACACCTCCAAGGTCTCTGTTCTGTACTTCGTGCCCACCAGCTCCCTCTTTCTGGCCTCAGTGCCTCCCAGGGAGGCCAAAAGAGCTGGCTGGTGCTTTTGGAGTTGGCCCTTCCCCTCTGCCAAGGTCTGGAGCCAGGACACCCAGCAGGGTGCTGGGGATAGGCTGGGCTCAGCTTTTCCTGCTGCAAATGGACAGGGCTGAATTCAGCCAAGATTCTTGGAAAGAGATGGATTGTAGGATGGGGAAGAGCTAGAAGCTGATTAGAAAGGCCCAGGGAGGATGTAGAGATGGATGTGAGCCACGAGAGATGTTCCTGTTTGGAACAACTCATCCTGGTGGCTGCTGTTCGGAGCAGGAAGAAGCAAGCTGGGGCTTCCAGCAGAGCTGTGAGCAGAGGCTGCCTCCCAGCTCTTGGAGGACAGAGGAGAAGGACAGAGGAGAAGGACAGAGGAGAAGGACAGAGCTGGGGCTGCAGTCATGGTGCAGGTTACCTGTGGGAGCTGGGTGCACTCAGCCTCTTTGTTTAAATCCTATGGAAAAATTCGTGGGGAATTCCTTCAGTGTTTCCCAAAACTAGGGAGGAAAGGCAAGAAATGGGCTGGAGGCCTTTCAAGAAACCCAAGAGCCAAGATCTCCTCTCCAGCCTCACGCTCTGCTGCAGATCCCAGCCCGTGGTGACCCTGGCTGCAGTGGGTTTAAGCAGATTGATGTGGATTTGAGCCTGCTACAGTTCTGTCCCCAGCAGAGAGGCAAATCCAGCTCTCTCCCATCCCAGTTCCCAACCTCCCTCCTGTTCACAGTGGGAACAGGAGCTGCCCTGCTGTAGGACTGGGATGAAGTCACAAAACCCAGTGGGGGCAGGCAGGAGATGGGCTCCACGTTCTCTTCCTCACTCCAGGTGAAGTGATGGGGGGGTCAGGGGTCTGTCTGTCATGGGATGGGATCCAGGACCTGGAAAAAGACCTGGAAGAAGGGGAGATCTTGTGGAAGCTGCCAAGTTGGCCACTCGGTAGCTCTCTAAAGGGCAACCAAGAAGTGCTTGTGTCAGGGAAGGCTCAGCCCCATCACTCTCTTCCTTCTCCAAACCTCCCATGAATGTCCTGGCTGCTGAAGGTCTCTGGGGCCCTGGCCAGCCACACAGCAGTGGAACCTGGCAAGCAGCTGCCAAAACAGGTTGCCCAGAGAGCTGGTTGATGCACCATCCCTGGACACAGCCCAGGGGAGGGGGAAG